AGGAATGTATTCCAATTTGTTGAATCGCTTTTCAGGTACCTCAGATGATAACTAGGCACCTTGTTAAGCCCCCTTTCTAGCAAATTGGAGAAAGCCCCGCATTAGGCACCTCTGATGATATCCAGGTTCCTAATGAATAATTTTCTCGAGTACCTCTGATGATATCCGGGTATTTCAACAAAAGGTGGGATAAATTCCGTTTCGCTAGGTTATCCTTTGGATGCCTCGACGATATCCAGGCATTCGGCGGAAGGTCCGTTTCGAGTATCTCGGACGATATCCAGATATTGAAGTAGTCTTCCATTCTTTGATCTCTAGACACCTCAGACAATATCCAGGTGTCTATTGATCACCATCTTCGATTACCCCAGACGATATCCAGGTAATTCGAACTACCCTTTGTGTGTCTTAATTGAATTACAGGTCACCGAAGTCCATCAGCGTTCATCAGGCAATACTTTTGGGACTGAGCCCAAACATTTGCCAAACAACCTATAGGATTAGAGTCATGCCTCAAATTACGCTACCACTCTTGTCAGGTAAGTAACTTCAGGTATGTTTTATTCATGTTAACATGCATCATGATATACTGCATTTCAAAATGGGACTCATACTCCCACAAAAAATAACATTCATTGCATTTGCATAGACAAAATTTAGGTATCATCTAGTCTTTGAATGCAACCTCTTCGAGCTCACATTTAAAGAGGGGCAGCTGTTGACACTTAAATTTTTGACTAACCATTTAGTGATTAGTTGCATAGAAAATTAGGGATTAAATTTTAGTCCCTAACAAAAATATTAAAGTTAAATTACATAGCATTTTGTTTGAAGAACATTTATTAAGTAGTTGCATTTGCATCGGATTTGGTGGCGGATGGGCTTAACAAAATTTAATTGAGCTGAGTTAATGGACTCAAGTACGAGAGGTTACGAACCCAATGGAATTAATTGGATCAAGCCCGTGTGAATTAAAGATTTGGCCCAACTCGTTATGCCCTCAAGTGGTCAAGATTGACATGCGTTGCGCGTATGGCACGATGGATTAGGAAATATTGAGAAAATATCATGAAAATCTTTGGGCGCAAGATAACAATATTCACGTGAAAAAGTGAACAAAGCTGGAATTTGGACAGGATGGGGTGGAAATATTCGGTAAGGGACAAGGTTGCACGTGGTGATATATACTTGATCTTAATATATCTTCAATGAGGGCACGTGGATTTGCAAGGAAGAGGGAGGAGGATCAGTAGATTTGGTTTCGTTCGTGCAAAGGGGAAACAATATAAAGAAAATAACAAAAGAGAAAAAAAGCAAAGGGAATTTGGTCAGCATGGGGCATATATTCTGAGCAATATATTAGACACTATCAAGAGGCCCTTACGTCTTCGGTGGCGTGAACGAGAAAGAAAAAGGTCACAACAAAGGGAAAGAATTGAAATGTAATATATTCTAAATAATCATAAGAGGAAAGCAGATTTATTCTCTTTCCTTGAAAACCTAGGACCTCCCTACCTATAAAAGGGTCACACATAGACAAGAGAAGGGGAAGCTCGAGAATTCTCAGAATAATTTTCGGAAAGACGCGAGTGATACACGTGAGTGAGAGTAAGAGAAGGTCGGTCGTGCCACTCCTTGCCGCACCAACCGGCGCCACTGCATCGCCACCCGAGCCCGCTCATCGCTCAAGAACGCTGAGCGCAGAAGCCCATTGATCGCCAAGCTGCCGCTGCTGCCCCGTGAAGCTTGAAGGCCGCTCGTCGCTGCTGTCCGACGTTTCACCAACCGCTCACAGCCATACCTGTGGTCGTGAGTCATTGCGGACCGCTACTGCTGCTGTTCCGCGACGCTGCCACCCCACTGCTGCTTATCTCTGACATCGGTTGCTGTTGTTACTACCCCTGCACTGGTGCCTGCTGCCCCGACCGACGACGACGTGCTGGTCACTACCGCTATTCTCGCTCATGTAGTCACCGCCTCCGCTGTTCTGCTGACCAACACTTCCGCGACCTTCATCAACTCTGCTGCTTTCTGACGAGTTCGTGGCCAAAAATCTTGACGCCATTCAGCCGCATTGACGAAGCACCAAACCTTGCCGCCTCAACTCAAACAAATTCTGTGCCGCGAGTCTTGAAGTCTGGTCTCCAGAGCACCAGTGAAGTTCGTCAGCGACAATTGGAGGCCTTGAAGTTCCTTTGGTGTGTCGTCCAGCAACTAGCCCATGCAAGATACGAAGAGAGGGAGGGGAATATAAGAGCCATATAAGAATATTATTTTTTGCAGGTTATCCACGTTCCACCACCTTCTTGCTTTGTTGACCGGTAAAAGTCGGCGAACCAAATTCGAGTCACACCGTGAGCCACCGTCCGCCGATCCCGAGACGTTCAAACTTGGAAAGCAAATATTCGAATTAGGTAAAAAGCTCATATAATTTGACTTTCGAGTATATTGTTTCCTTATTTGAAACGTTGCAATCTTTGAATGATATCACCGTATCCATTACGTCCCCTGAGTAAACTTTAAATTAGGAATTATTTCCTAATTTCACAAAGTGCATATGATTGACAGTCCGATTTCATGCCCGAAATATGACTCGCGATCGCACGAAAAATCGTCAATCCGATCTCCCGCCCGAGATATGATTCGCGTTTGTGTGAAAAATTGGTCAATCCGATCCTCATGCCCGGGATACGATTCGCAATCTATTGTTTCTAAATTTAAACGGATATCGGTAATATTTCTTGTGCGAGATGGTGTCGTGTTGATTCGATTTCTATCTTTGTTTGATTTGAATTGATCTTGTTTTTCTCAAAAAAAAAATCCCAAAAAGAATGAGTTGCTTTAGGATAGAATAGGATAGATTGCATTCTTAATTTGAGTAATTTTTAATTTCGAATTTTAATACCAAAAGAAGACACTTTAGGATAGATTAAATTATTATTTTTTTAGAATAGGTTGCATGTTAATTTAGGCATTTTTTTTTATTCCGAATTTCATTGAAAAAATACCAAAAAATAAATTATTTGTCCGTCATTAGAATTAGGTCACGTCGTCGCATGACATATAGTTTGCATGCTAGGTTGCATTAATCGCATGTCATTTTTGCACGTCATTGCATATAGGTTAGTTTGCATTTTAATAAAGCGCAAACCCTAATGAACATCTTGAGTGCCTTGCTTTGTTAATTAGAAATCATATTAGGATTGTCTGTGTGATTTTTTTACTAACAATGCAGATGCTTGCGTGGCTTTAAGGTATGTTATCCTGCTATTTATTTACTGCTTTCTTGGGTGTTACTTTGGTGGTTTGCGCACCCGCACGATCACCTCACATGCTAGTGACTGAGTTAAAATGAATCCAAACCTGTCTCGCCAAAACATTTTTGAAAAGAAAAGGTACCGAAAGGGCGTTAGATCTAGATCAGTAACCAAGTCCCCCGAGCTTAGAATCTCGGTTCGTAGGAATAAAACATATCTCCCTATGTTTTATTTAGGTTTCTAATCGACCTACCATAAATAGATTAGTGGCGACTCCAAGTACGAAAACTTTTGCATGTTAAAAACTTAAACCCTAAGTTGCGAATTGGTAGGGCTTGGGAGTGCCCGAGTTAGGCTTAGTCTTAATAATCCATTAGCCTGAGAGAAATTTTAGGTCGCGACAACGTGCAATTCCTAAAATTTTGATACATATTTAAGTTAGTCCATGGACTATATGAAAATGTTCAATGTTGTCCATAATTTTGTATTAATGAAAGGACTATATTCAACGTTGATATATAATTTGGGGATCACATTGATCAAGTACCAAAAGTTTAAGGATAAAGTTCAGTGATCACATTGAATAAATTAAAAGTTCAAGAACCATACTGCTTAATAGGCCAAAGTTTATGGATCATTTGTGTCATTAGCCCTTTTTAATTATCTAAACAACAGCCGCCTATGTGATAAGTTTTCTTTTTCTTTTTCCTATTCGCCTATGTGATTAGTTTGATTATTATTTTTTAATTGCTTACAAATTATTTGTTTCAACCATAACTCGAAAGGAAGATATAATTTAAGAGTGCGTTTATTTCTCGAAAAATGAATGATTTAAGAAAATATTTTCCTAAAATAATCGCTTACAAAAATGTATGCAAAAAAAATAATTTCATTGTTTACAAAAATGTTTAGATATAAATTGTTGGCTATAATGAAATAAAATTTATTGACTTATTATTTCAAACGATACAAGTAAATATTTTGAGGAAAATGTTTTTTCAATAATTCATTTTTTATGAAATAAAGAGAGCTTGTAATTGATTATGTTCGTCCATAAACTTTCTAGTAAGAGCAAGTCATGGAGACACATATTTTATTTCTATCTATGTGCCTTTTTTTTTTTGTTTGTCTTTACTTTTATGTTACCTTGAAATATATGCCATGCAGCCAGTGGTAAATTGACAGATTTCGGTTGCAATAATAACCTATTGCTCGAATAAAGTCCAAGTTCAGAGGCATCAAGCATGTAAACAAATTCGAACGACATGAATGACTACCTTACACTATCTCTAGTTATCAAATTTAAATAAATTCGGATGACACAATTAAACTCGAAGATAGATGGATTATCGCATATTTTATTGAGATGGCTAACATGATTTTTAGGGCGTACCCACTCCATTAAATTCATGATAGATTATTAATTTGCACACCGAGTTAGGAAAATGTTTTTTTAAAATTATTTATCTTTCACAAAACAGATAGAGCGGCACGGAGTATTATTATTGTTTTGTGTTTAGGAAGTAATCAATTGCCACGATTTTTTTATTGGTACGATGATGTTTTCGGGCAAAAGAAAGAGTAAACTAACTACCATGGTTTTCTTCCAATTTTGGGCTCATCTCCCTCATGACTCAACGACCAGAAAGCATGAGTCAGAGATCTTTGTCAGCAGTTGGAAAGGTAGTTGGCGCTTCCATGGCGATTCCACACCTATCAATCCACACACACACTCTCTCTCATTATGCAGATAATGCCGACAATTCAAGAGCGTTAGATTCTTGAAAATATGCTGATGCTTGTCAACGATCACTCTTCTTAAGTTACTGAAACAGAGCCTGCCCCTCCGTCTCCTTCCTTCCAGCTTCACCTCGGCATCAATGGCTTCGTACCCGCTGACCGCCGTCCTCGGCACTGTCGCCGTGCTGGCTTTCGCTCTGGCGCCGGTGACGCAGTCCCTCCCTTTCGTGGTCTTCCACGGTGAATTTTCGCTGTCCCCGTTTTCGCGTTCTGTTCATTCTTGATGTGTTTTGAACCTGGTCGTTCATGCCCCGCTTGCCATTGTTCTTCTTGGTTGTGAAACCGTTCTGTTCTGTTGTTAGGTAAGCGGGGGTCATTGCCATGCCTATCTTGTGCTTGCTGATTTATTTCCTTCAGTGATACTAATGGTTAAGCATGAGTTGTTGGTTGTATCACTAGCTGTAGGATTTGGGACTCTGTTTTCTTTTTTTTTCTTTTTAGACTTGGTCCTCAACTAAGTTGTTTGGTTCTCGCTTGGTCGACTTCTAGGACGGTGTTGTTTGAGGTCGGTGGTAAAAGGCATGTTGTTCCCTGTTCTTTCTTTGATATGAGTTATAACCAGTGGTGATACAATCTGTGACTAGGAAGGGGGAAAAACGAAATCCCATGATTATGCTTCCATGCATTGGCAATGAGTCACTATGCGGCTTGATATAAATAAGCTTTTGAAATCATCTTCATTTCCTAACTCTATTTAGTTTTTGCATAGTAGTTCTATCTCTCTATCCTTAGTGTTTGTACTGGTGTACTTAGTGCCTTTTTCGTTAGAAGAACAGGAATGTAGAGTTGAAGTTGTGACTGTCTTGTTCTTCTAAAAAACTTTGCGCAGTGTGAGGTTGTCATGAAACCATTTGTATTCAACTGGCATCTTTCCAAGAAACATTTCGATTGTGATTTGTCAAGTCACATGCTATAAATACATTGTTGGCCCATTTCCTTACAACTTAAACATTTGGGAGGGACAATTTGTCTAACATGGTATCAGGAGTTAAGGTCAAGGCTTCGAAGCTTGACACTCCCTCTCAATTTTCTCCGGCTTGTTAAACCTGTTATTCTGCCTGTTTTCACATTTCCTCGATTATTTCGTTAATGTGGTTCCATCCACAACCTGAGCGCAAGGGCCAACGTAGATTCAAGGGCGAGTTTTCAACCATATCCTACAATATATTGTTGGCCCGTTTCCTTTATCTTAAGCTTTTATGATGAACAGTTTGTCTAACATGATTATAGATAACTACTTCAATTAGATGCACACCGGGGATTGAGGAGTACTGAAAAGCATTCTTGACCTTGTCCATTTCTTGGATGAAACAATTCTCAAGGAATGTGTGCCATATGTGTTTGCTCGACTAAGTCAAGTCTTGGGCTCCAGTGTCATAAGAGCGAGAGGTCCAAGAGTTTGTGGAAAACGAGCACTGGTGGCACACACCGCACTGTTGTACATGTCGGTCTTGGTAGTTGCCCCAGTTGACATTTCCTCTAAACAGGATGACGTTTCATGGGTTGTTTGCATCAGGTATTAGCGACAAGTGCAGCAACAAAGGAGTCACACGCTTCACTGAGCTCTTAAGCAACTGGTCCGGTTCTGAAGGCCACTGCATGTATGGTTGCTTTCTTTGAATAAACATTTTCAAGATTCAGCTTCACATAGATTTTTTTTCATTTTACTTTTTGAAACTCTGTTTTGTCTGAATCAATGGTTAATGAGATGCTTTGCCAAGGAAATGCTTGCATGAGGCCCCAACAATTAATCAATGCATATTATTTTCTTATTTTCCCATGCTTTGGGAAGTTTCAAACATATTACTTTTAGAATGATGTTTATATACTTGTTCTTAAGACTATTCTTCCGATGTTTTGAATTTGTACCTCTATGGAACATTAGCTACAATTATGTCTGTTCATGGAATTGGCAATTAGTGTCCTATCTGAACCACCGTGACAATCTTTGTTAATGGCAAAATTGCATTCGTCAGTGGGTTATTTTGTTTAACTTAACCTTTTGTTTTGCATGTTGGTCTAGAATTTTCTCCCACATTGGTGCCATGATTAATCTTTTTGAATTTCATTAGAAAATGGACTTATTTTTGTTCATTTACTCTTTCCACTATCTCTTACTTTGTAGTGAAATAGGAGACGGCTCATGGGACTCGTGGACTATGCCACTTCTAAAGCAGGTAAGTTGTCAAATGGCTATTGCTTGTTATCCTTAATGATTTGTATCTGACAATCCATGACAATCTGTTATGTACCTTGCCTTTCAGACTGCCATTGCTTGTGAGAAGGTGCTGACAGTTTCTGGAGATATGTATTGTCTTCTGGTACCTGAAATTCACTTTTACTGGAAAAATTTCGATATCACAGGTGAAGAACATGAGCGAACTTAGCGATGGCTACAATTTAGTTGGGCTTTCTCAGGTAATGACATTGAATGCCAATCTTAACTAAATTATAAGTCACTAACCATGCATTGCCTCATGTAGATGGAACCATTCCGCAGATTCTGTGTTATAGTCATAGACAAGTGAGGAATCTGTTAGATCTACTAAAACAGTAATTCAATTGGACTTGAAATTGAACATATTGAGAAGTTTGTGATTCTTTACTTGATGCAAGAGAAAATCTGCGGCTTTTAGTTGAGTGAGTGAGCTAATTGCGTTGACAGCATCAAAGAACTAGAGCCCGGTCAATTTTCTGGGAAACATAACTAGGTTAGCATCTCTGAAATGTGAGCATGTTGGAAAGAGAACTAGAATGATGTCTTGACTATATAATTTGTCAATTAGTCAGTCCTGAATCTCTTCTGTCTTATGAGTTTACAACATGTTAGGAGAGAGAGGATCTTGATAGCGACTGCACATCTTATTAATACAAATTTTAGTTAAAAGAAAATTTATAATTGAGATGTGGGGGTAGTGAAGGAGTTTAAGGTGGCATCCTTGTGGAAAACTTCATGTATCTCTAAAGTCTACACAAATGCTTTTAAAAGCTTTACATTGATGTTATAGTATCCATTATTTAGCAATAAACATGTGGTTTAGATGCTGTAATCTTCAACTCATTATATTTATTCTATGCCCTTGTATGTTGTACTCCAGTAATTCTTAGGCAACATAACCAACATACTGTATCGATGTAGTATATAGACAGCACAGTTAGCTTAATAAGTGGTGAATGGATAATAGACAATGTCGTAATCTGTGAATTCTTACTAATGTCTTTGTCCTGTTGCTGTATGCCTAGTTTCTCCTTTTTCATGGTTAGAGCTATCTGTCTACCATCATTGCAACTTACCTGCCTGTCTCACAGGGCACCATGATTGGTCGAGGCGTTGTTGAATTTTGTGATGGAGCACCTCCGGTGAGATAAAGTTCTTCACAGAGTGAATTACACAGTTTCGTGTCATGCATACTTTCTTTTCGATATTGACTTGAAAACATGTAGTGAATCATTTTATATTGTTTGTAGATCTTTTCCCCGCTTTTCCTTTCACGAGTCTTATAATATTCTTTATAATACTACTGCCCAACTTTTGAGATAATGCACAGAAGCGCTCTCTTTCTTGTCTATAATTTTCTTAAAGATGTCGGAGTATAAAACTTCGAGTTTGCAGAGAGTCACATTTTTAAACAATGAAATGAGATTCCACGAATAGCACTTTGTCAAGCCGTGCCACTATGGTGTAAATTTCTGCAAATTTTACTTTGATCCTAGAAGTAATACTTGAGTGCAGTCGTGGGCCTTTTAACATCAACCTCTTTCTAGAACATTGTGCTGTGCTAGTAATACTGTGTGGCTCGATTTATAACCTTTTTATGTTGGCATAACTCATCTGAAGCTCCTTCATCTGTCTTCGTACATCAAGCATGATATTAAGGACACTGAAGCTTCTCTTCCTACTATCCTGTGTGTCTTCCCTCTTCCCTCTCAGAACAGTATATAAAGTGAAGAGGAACAAATATCTTGACGAATGTTTAAGCAGGAAAAATTGACTGGAATGATTTGCCGTAAAAGATGAACTTCCTAATATATTTCAGGAGAAAAATGGGTCCACATGGGAATGCCGGTTTTTAAGGACGACACAAAAACTGCAGATCACAAGCCTTTTGATGTTTACTTTAAGTTTGTGCATTTCAAAGGGTCTGTAGCACATTGCTGCGCTAATTCCTTCTCCCACCAACTAGTGAGATATTTTGGAGTACTTTGGATGGAACTTGGTCCTTATGTCATTTTTTCTTCTTCACTAGTCGGATATGTTAATGATTCGTAGTAAATATTTTCCTAACTGCAGACATGAAACAACACGATGTCACAAATTAAATCAGCTGCAGACATCGCTAAGTTCTTTCTAGCTACACTATCTAATATAATGGATAATTTGCTAACCTACCTTTTTGATGTTGTGGTCCCTTTTGTTGTTATTGGCAAGGGAAAAAAAATTCCTACTGCTTAACCAGCAAAACAGACATTTTATTATATATTCCTTCACTTGGATTGAAATTTGCGATACGTTTAATGGAAGGAAGTGCATATGGTAAAGAGAAAAGGGTTGTGATAGTACGGTACCATATCATGTCACGTATTAATTTCTAATGGGAAGTAAAACAGTAGTTGACCTGCGGAAAAGAAAACTTAGTCTCTTCTTTTTTGCATAATGATCCTCCAGTCCAAGTAAATGCAGAGAAAAAGGTAAAGAAAGACGGGACTAAAGAAAAGAACAAAGTTACGTGTGCTTTCGACTTGTGTATTTTTTGGATAAGTGGACAATAGGGGAGGATTGTTTCCGTAATTCTGTTTCTTTCTTTTGACACCAGATATCTCTATCTGAAAATTTTCAACTCGCTTTGTTATTCATATACCAAGAAGCGATTCGTTCTCTTAAATTCTTTGATCCTCACCACTCCATTCATTACAAATCAGATTTACTTCTCCAGAGTGCATTTCTGAACTGTTCTAACAGCGCAAGCTTGTTTCTCTATTCATGGAGCAGGTGAAGAACTTCATATCGCTGGCAGGTATCCATGCTGGAATTGCGTCTATACCGTTTTGTGGAGTAAGTAGTCCGTTCCTTTCCCACAATTGATCCATTTTTTTTACCAATTATTAGCAGCAAAAAGGAAGCTCATTCTGTTTGTGATCTTGTAAGCGAGAAATTTAAGTATCCTTTCGCAGAGTGCGAAAGACTTCTTGGTAAGTTGATATATTTGATGAAGATATAGTCTGTTTGGCTAATTGAGAGTAGTTCTCTCCAGCAGAATTGTACATGACAAGGGCAAGAAAAAATCTTTTTTTCAAGTCTTTCCTATATTTATTTGCAAATATCACTAATCTCCCAGTTTTGTACATGACACGCGTTTCTGGCGTGGTTTTAGATTGATTTGGCATTAGGATACACCATTCTCTAGTGTTCTCTTGATTGAGGTCTCATGGGGGTTGAAGTTTGCTTATATCACTGCAGTTTGATTTTTTTTTGTTCCTTCCTTGACAGTCCGGTATCTTTTGCGTTCTTGTGGACTATTTGATCGAGCTACTAGGGATCTACTCTGAATATGTCCAGGTTTGGTTTGGTCTTCCTAGTCATTTTCTGATTCACATTACCCTATTACTATAACGATACCTGAGGATAGTGTTGCTCAAAGTCTTATCCAGGCTACTTTTTCTGCACCATCAACAACTAGCTTCTTTACATGTCCACTGTAGAAATATTGCGCCAACCTAATTTTCTCTCTTCTTTCATACTTCACTGTTTAACCGCATCTTCTTGTTTTGTTCGGAAACCTTCATACAATCACAGGAGCACTTGGCACCCGCTGGTTATGTGAAGATTCCAACTGTGAGTATGATTCTGTGTTAAGAGAGAAAATACTTAGATAGGATGACTTTTTGTTTGTATCTTCTCGATGGTCCTAATTTGTACATCTTACTATATTATTCAGTGAAATTATTTTATAGCCATTCCAAAATAGGTGTGCCCGACAATACTCCTCGTATAACATAGGAGCAATGCATATTTTCATTGATTTCGTGTTTTTAGTTTCGTGTGTTTGATGTTATTTGTCAATGCAAAATAGCATTTCACTTGCTATTGTGTCACAAAGTCTAAATGTTCTTTCAATTAAGCATGGTGTGAATTGCCTTTCGTTTCTGCAGGACCTTGCTAACTATCTAAAAGGATGTAAATTTCTCCCAAAATTAAACAATGAACTTGTGGATGACAGAAACTCAACCTACAAGGAAAGATTTGCTAGCTTGCAGAACCTAGTCCTTATTATGGTTAGTTTTGTATATGTTGTTGATTTTGGACTCTTGTCTTTTGTAGCTTCGTGATGCTAACTCTTTTTATTTCCCTCTAGTTTGAGCAAGACTCTGTGTTGGTACCAAAGGAAACATCCTGGTTCGGATACTATCCAGATGGAACTGATGATACTGTTTTGCCTGCCCAGGAGGTAATTGATGTAGTACCTTGAAATGCAGTTATCAGTGTCTTTATCAGTGCCACTGAATTATGGTAATATTTGGGTGACACTGATGGTCACTGAAAGCAGTGGTAAAGTATTTATGGTTGATGAGGGTGGAATCTCCTCGTGGATCAGAAAGCATGCATTTTGAAAGGTTGCATTCTTTTGAGAATTCTTTCCAGTCCTCAACCGATTCCATAATTAAGATTCTGCTTGAGGACTTGCACGCGCATAAATATATGAAAAACCAGGGGTGTGGAATATGTAAAATCTCTGGTAACATTGATATTGACTTGGAATCAACTTTTTTTATTGCACGTTGCGCGATCAACCAAGAATTATAACAGAGAACAAGCTGAAACATTTTCTAAACCTTACATATGAATGATCAACCATGTTGAAAGTAATACTGAGGATTGTGAAAGCATTTTCTTTATTGAGCTCATCCTCTACAATCTTATGGTGTAGGAGGTGTATATCCATGACATGGTTTGGAATTGCTTTTGGTAGTGATTTATGATTTTCATTTCATCATTGAGCATTCAACTTTGAAAGGTCGATAATCTAAGGACAATTGCATTTACTTGAGAAAAATGGAAGGAATAGAATGGGTGAAGGAACATATTGTGATATCGTGTAGTGGCTGTGGTGTAAGCTTATCATAACATGCTTTTACCCTTACTCGATGCTACAATTTGCATCCTTTTACCATTAGGACTGGATTGGATTGAAAAAAAGAGGAATGTATCTAATTGATTCATTTCCTGCAGACCGAACTTTACATCGAGGACTGGATTGGATTGAAGACCTTGGATGAAGCTGGGAAAGTCAAATTCATCAACGTCTCTGGGAACCATCTCCAGATCTCTCTTGCCGATATGAAAGAATATATACTACCTTACTTGGTGGATGATGCAGCATTAGCGAAGAACATGGCAACAGGAACGGCTTCTAGTAGCTGGACCCCGTGGGTTCAGGGTTTGCATCGAAGAATGGTTAGGCTGTTTGAGGATCGGCCGCTGCTCCTCTCTGTGCGTTAGAGAGTGATGCATGTATTCCAGGCATGAACACGAAACATGAAGCGAAATGATTGTTTTTGGCGTGAATGGGTGATTGCATTTTTATAGGTTGATATGGTATGCATCCTTGGCCTTGTGTACCTAATTATTCGAGGATGTTACTTACTGGATTGACTTGAAAGTTCTGAGAATACTCTGAAAGATGACATTCCCATTTCTACTAAGGCTTATGAAACTTTTAAAATAATTGGAAGGGAAGGATCTTGCATCAGCCATGACTCTTGCTCTCAATAGATGGTGAAAATATTATGGTACTTCCTGCAGTTCTGCGTAACTATGCAATTAAAGAGCGATGCGTAGAAGTCGAAGCCAAGTCACAATTCAACGGAAACTTTAAATTAAATGCTAGTAAACATCACATTCTTGGGCAAACCTTATACGGTGCACTAACCTCTGTCCATGCCTTCTTGTAGAACTTAAAACGAATTTTGGTGTTGGTAATTGCATTACAATATTGCTAACTTGCTAAGTTTTAACCGTATCCGTTTGTACAACTCACAAGGCGTTGGTAACTTTCTAATTCATTTGGCATTGGTATATTCATTACCATAAAGGTAACTTGCTAACCTCTTACCCGATTCAATTGTAAAATTTAGAAATTGTTGACTTACTAATCAATTTGACAACGGTAAATTCATTACGACGTCGGTTATTTATTAATCTCTATCCTGTTCACCTGTAAAATTTAAAAGAAGTTGGAAACTTACAAATCAATTTGACGTTGCAAATTTACATCATAAACTTCTTCAAACATCTACCAAAGTTGAAGAACGTTGAAGTAGTTCATGAAAATTAAAGTAATGGCAATCAACAAGTAGAAACAAACAAAACTCATTAATGCAGAGCTTTTTTATAATTAAAATACCCCAAACTCCAACACTTTCGTTTCAACCTAACGATTAGCACCAAACATTTCCAACTTGGCAGTTCAACCGCAATTGCTCAGCAACTGCTAACCCTCTTGGCTTTTACTTGGTTAACTGGGATGCAATCTGAGTTGTACATCCTTCACATACACGAAAAGTAAAACTTGTTGGCCTTTGCTGCGCTCCAGTCATCTCGAGCACCGCAATTAAGCCAGCGCTCAATCGAACGGGTCGACAGTGACAGGTTTTAAATCAGGCATCTGACATAAAAGTGCTCGAACTCGATGGCTGACAAAGCAAAAAGAAAATTTCGCGTGCACAAGGTCACGGGACTATAGAACCAACCAGCTCAACTTTTTAGCAGCTTTCCTAAAGTACCCCATAATCAAACAATAAGTTTCGGACGAATCTTCTGGCAGAGCTATTTTTAAATTGGGGTTGAGCCTCGGGATCAAGGAAAGCACCAAAAAGGTACACAGTCAAGAGACATCCGGACATGACATAAGGAATGATTCCGAGCCCGATGGTTCTGGTCAATACTACATACGTACCACAAGCAAAGGCTAGCACCATCGCCAATATCGCAAAATAAATGCAATATGCCGCGATGTGCGTGTATCTCGCCTGTTGGCGCTCGCTCAATGCAGAAGTATCGAATTGTAAGAATAATGCCAGGATGGAGAAGCAGAACGCAGCAGTGTCAGTTATCACAAAGGCTTTGAAAGCGGCCCTGCCAGCAAGAGTTGCCATTCCTTGGTCGGGTCCGTCGTTGTTATAACCTCCGGGCATCGTGAAGGCCGCAGCGAAGGTCACTGTCGCTATGAGCACTGCCACTAGTAGTTGAAGGTCGATAATGCTTCTTTTTGACGAGTAGAAATTTTCTTGGTTGGCGGTATTACTTCCTGAGGTTACAGACCCACCTGGTTGATCCTCAACAGATTGCTTGTTTAACCTCTTCTTGACATGTTGAACAACCCAGTCTTGACAAAACGGCCAACCGTGATATCCTTCCAACACATGTTTAACTTTTGCAGCTCTGTAGCCGACCTAAAAATGTACAGAATGTATCAATTTACGTTGGTCTTTCTCGGCGAAATACTTCAAGACCCCCACTTTACACACTCAAGATGCATCCATAACAAACAGCACTCCCGACGAGCCCTAAAATATTAAGGAGAATTCATTCAATTCATCTCTTTTAGACAAAATTATTTACTCAAAAACTTTTTGAAAGGGGGCAGAAAAGAAACAGAAGAATTTTAGCTAATTACTGTACAAAATTTTCTTATTCTTTTGGATGAATATAAACTTCTCGATTAAGATCCTATAAAAAGTACAGCTAATTTTACATCATAAAGAGTGGTTGACAGCTTGGTACAAGGGCCATTAGACAGTCCAGATTTATTCTTCTTTTTTCCCTTTACCTTATCCCCCAACTTTAAAGGATCCCAATCCTAAATATTTTTGCAGTGTTTTCAAGATAAATAAGACAGACAATTACTTTTGAACTAGTTGAAGACTCGCATGTTGCAGCGATTTGAAATTTAAACTTACTGAAAAGTTTTGTTTAGACGATATAATATGATCATACAACACAATATTCACAAACGTTATACACTGTATTTTACACAAATAATATAGATCTATCAACCAAACAACAAGATTAACTAATATAGAAAATTACTTTACTAAGTGATTTGTCTTAAATTATACGGTGTTATTTGAATATTTTGTACTGTATACCTTGCAATGAAACAAAAATATCCAAACTTAAAATTGTTTGAAACTAGTTTGCTATATGCAGTATACTGTTTCCTAGAGGATCCCATAATCAAATTGCACTTAAATTCGAAAGCTGTGGGATTTGATGTTGATATTTGTTGTAGGAACATAGATAGATCAAGTGGAATAAAAAAACCTTTTTATTTTTTGTCTAATTAATGTTAATATTAGTTTGCGAATTAATGTTAAGTGAAGTGGGGCGGAATGAAGTTTTATGATAATATGGCTCAACCACAAAATTCAATTCTACTCACCTTTCTTATTATTTATAGTTAGATATGAAGTATGAAATCACTACACTCTGAGTCCCTTTTTCAAATGTGTGTCAACACTCAATAAAGCAATCTATCTACTCTTTGCTACGAAAATAAAAAATATAGTCAATATGCTTGAACAATCGAATAAGCAAAACAAAGTTGACGCAAAATAACTTCAAAGTGTTTGCACTTGAAATGTGTATCACCTGAGCCACAGTTTAAGTGTTCAAGCAAGCATACCTCCTTATGAGCAGAAAAAATGTCAACGGCGGTCAAATGATCCTTATTTTTGGCCAAACGGTCCACCCTCTTGTCTCGTGCAAGCATATATATGATGTTGTACCATTTATGAAGCGCAGCCAAATGCAAAGCCGTGTTTCCATCGGTGTCTTGTTCATTGATAAGATTCTCCAGGTTTGGCATCCCTAGTGTGAACTTGACTACATTTATTCGTCCACCAATAACAGCTGCATGAAGAGCCGTTTGTCCTCTGGTGTTTATTATGTCACAAGCATCAGGACAGGATCTAATAAGCTCGTCAATGACATTGACGTGGCCTTCAAATGCTGCAATGTGAAGGGCGGATTCCCCCTCTTTGTCTAAGACGTACACCACAGAAGTATCGTGTTGGAGGAGGAATCGAACTGCTTCGACTTTGCCCCAGGAAGCGAGATAATGAAGGGGAGTCCACCCCACATCATCTCCTTCTCTGATCATTTCTGGTATCTTCTCCAGGATTTTCCACCAACCTTTGCAAATACAATAGGAATGTGTCATGATTTAGACTGTTGCGAGCATCTTGACATAGATATTAAAACTGCATTTAATCCCATTAAGTTTTCCCGTTTTGCTCTGTACTAGGGAGGAATATGTCATGGTTATTCTGAAGTTTCTCTAGTGATCTTGTGTAACACACGTAGAATCTAACTACCTTCGATCTAGCATAATGCGGAAGTTAGTAAAGTCTTTCCTCATTTTACGGAAATATCGTGCCCAGCTCACTTTTATAGAAGATTTCGAGATAACATTGAATCAAGAGGAGAAAATGTCGAAACAAAGAACACAACCAAAAGAAAAAAACAAGGAACTGGATGAGAGAGGAAAGGGAAGAGGTAGGGGTGTGATGGTGGTGATGATTGCTGCCACTGCCATCGTAGGAGGGGTTGATGATGATGTAGCCAGTGGCATTCGAAAAAAAGTGGTAAAATCAGAAAAAAAAAGGAACAGAACAAGATCTAGAAAAAAAGGTGTAGACCGAGATTACGTGCCTGCAAAAAATACCATCTTAAAATAGTGATTTTTCTGAATGAATATGCAATCCAAAACGTAACAAACTCTTATATTCTTTTCTTAGCCCGCATACTAAGAGAAGACGAACCGATTCGAACTTATTTAATAGTTAATGAACAGAACAATAAAGAGAATGCAACGAGCACAAGAACTCGAATCTTTTCAAAACATAACCACGGTACATAAGCGGTCCTTGGAAAAAAGTATGACCTTTCACTAAAATAAAAGTACTAATAAATAAATAAATAAATAAATAAATAAATAAATAAATATTTGTGTTCATTATTATATTTTTAAAATATACTAGGATAGATGGCGGTCATCACTGCTAACACATATGTGAGAGAGAGAGAAGGCGCTTCTATTAAAATTTGTTTCATTGGGCTTAGAATCTTGGGATACTTACAGGTTGGTAGGTCAAATATTGCGACATGCATAGCTGTCAATCCCTTAGGGCCCTTATGAGAGGATGAGACCGAGAAAGCACCTAAAATTAGATCAACGGTACTACAAAGTCCCAATTCTGCTGCAATATAAAGCGCGGACTCATCAGCAGCATTAGTAATGCTACACAGATAAGGATCTTCTTCAATCAGCAACTTCACCACCCCATGATGGCCTCCTCTTAACGCATAATGCAGCGCGGTATCCTTATGTGAATTTGGCTTTCGAAGTAGCTCTTTGCACGCGTCAACTTGTCCGTTTTCAACAACCCAACGCAGTGATTTCGCCAGATCAATGAAGACTCGAACCGCTTCGTCACTTCCTACTTTAGCAGCAAGGTGTAGGGGAGTGTCCCCTTTGTAGTTGCCCTGCCAAAGAAGGGCCGGTCCTGATGGACATTGAAGAATATGTTCAAGGAACTTTACCTGCTTGTATTGAGCCGCAACGTGAAGAATGCTGTTCTCCTTTGGCGTTGTTTGGTGGAAAAGGTCCTCTCCATTTCCTGAAATTATTGCCTTCAGAGAATCAAAGTCTCCCAACTTTGCAGCGTCATATACTTTGGGATGCATTCTGATTGTCTCTCTATCTTTCCCAGGACACGGAGTAGTTGCCAATGACCTTGTATATATAAGCAATGAGTTCAAGTGGGAGGAATTTCTTTCAGAAAATAGTTTTCGAAAAGCCAAATTGATCTATTTCTTCGAAGTTTCTGTAATCCCACACGCAAATTGACAGGAAAAAGATCAAGCAATTAACAAAACAAAACAAAACAAAAAAAATCAACGGCCTGGTCTCCCTGAAGCTTCTTTCTCGTCCTTTTTTTGACTTTTGAACCATCTTGTCTCCCACTTTTCATCTAATTCAAAATCATTGCATCATTGCACATGCAGGATACTTCCTGGAACACCGTAACTGTTGACTTTTGTGCCTTCCCACCGTGGGAACGTAGCCATGAGAACCATCTTGGATAGTTCTTCAGCCAAGTGAACTTTCTACGGAACCTTCAAGGCCGATGTCATCGGATGGTGTCATCGAAATGTGTGATTTATGAGATCGCTGCTAACATTTTATATAAAAACGATATTTAATATTTAAATATTATATCAAGAAATTTTAATGAATCAACACTCAACGGCTCATGAAGTTATGAATTGCTATCAACCACCGTTGCCGTTACTATGCATCACCGCAACCACCATCTCTCCCATGGCCTGACACCGTTGTTTACTAACTATAACACGGCCACAGATAGTCTCAACTCATTCACCTGCTACCGCTTAGCACCTCCGCCACCACCATCGCCACCTCCATCTCCACCACAACCCTATTTTTAACATTAAAATATCAAAGTAAAAATATTACGGAATCACTTATTCGCATGCTTTGTCAAGACACTAGTCCAATTCCCACTCCCCCACTTGTTGAATTTCGTGGATAGATATACCTATGTTCGCACAGAGGTATGTGCCCCTGAATATATACCATGAATTATACGTTTGAAGATTTACGTTCTATATACTATTAAGTGATGACCTAATTAGTTCATGAGTTTTAATTTAGGTATGCGAGGTGATATGTGAAGTGTCAGATATGCCTTTGATCTCACATCGCCATATATATGAGTTGTTGTACAGGTAGATAAGTCTTGTGCAATCCCGAACTAATGCGGCATGCTATTCGGCTGTGTCGGCATGAATGAGCTACGGCCAGAGCTACAATTCTATGTATTGGCGCGGTTGGCCCGTGCATCATTCCCTACAGTGCTATTGGCTAGAGATGTTGGCTGTTGTTTCTAATTTCACATTCCCATGTATGTAAGACATGTCGTACCAATAGATAAATCTCGCACAACTTAAAACTAAAACAATGCATTTTAAAGCCATGCGGGAGTAGATGAGTCACGATCAGAAAGGACAATATCATGTTGACAGCAATGTCGCATTTTTTTTTATTGTTGTTTTGGCTAGAAAATGGAGCATACATATTGGAATACATTCTTGCAAACACCGCCCATAAACCCACCTATAACTTTGTCCTCTCTTATCTTCACTTTACTTATCAAAAGAAATTCTTGCAAACACTAACATGTCAAAATTAATCATTTTGTAATAACTTTTCTCTTTATATAATCTAGGGGCATGCAAGTGAGAATATCTGGAGATCCATGAAACACTCTATAAATCTCATGAGCCGGTTAAGCCTGTACTTTTAGCTTGCGCAGATAGCTAACTTAGAGCAGTTTGCACAAAATTAAAAAAAATAAGGCTGTAGATAAGGAAGCGGGATTATCCATTGAAAAGTTAATTTTTTGACCGAAGTTTTCACATGCAAACTTGAGAAGTTAATTTTTTGACCTCGGGGGTGGAGCACGCCCCACTTTACGCTGGATCCGTCCTTGTTCTGAAGTCATTATCTTGCAAAGTCAAATTCCGTCCTGTGACTATGAAATAGTAAGATGAGTTTGCGAATTACTCAATAAATCAAGAGAAAGTGTTGAATTCATTTTAAACATGACATTCACGTCTATTTAAGTCGATCGATCATTGCATGTTTAGTATTATTAACTTTTCTTATCTTTTTTTTCACAAAAAAAGTAATATATCACATTAATTGATCTGGGTGAACGGATCGGAACCATAATATGAAAGAATCTCAATAACCTCTCTATAAATTAACCTCATAAAATATAAAAAAGAGTAAAACCGGCAACTTCCTAGAAATCGCGTAGCCGCTAGAAGCCAATATTATAGTGTATATTTTGTTGGTTAGGTGATTAGTAACCGATATATAGTGTTATACCTTCATTAAACGATGATAGAAGTATGATGTGACCTTTAGGACAAGTGATTTCCTTCAATCTGAGTGGCTTAAACTTAGAATTTATTGCCCCGTCTTACGGTAGGTGTTCTTGTTTAAATTAGGCATGCCGCTGGATTGAATCGATTATTTGACAATGAAACTTGCGCCTTTACGGGTACAATATTTTGTCAATTAGTTTTCCTTTTTTTTTTTGATAACCAATTAGTTTTCCTTTTCATTTCCATATAACTTGGAAAATGATAAGAAAAATCAGAAAATTACCAATTCATTAGGAAAACTATTTCCCACATGGCATTTTCAGTCGCGTAATTATAGGAAATAAAAATTTTTAAGTGTAAGAGTGGCTTATAGAAGGAATAGCCATGGAAGTTTTCAATCAATCAACCTGTCCCTCGCCATCGTCATAAAATTTTGGAAAAATTCCAAATAAAGGCATGCAGGGGAGCTATTTTCTTAAAAGAGGATCCAAAATGGAAATTGTTTCAAATAATGATCTGAAGTGCCTAACTTAGTTTCAAATAAGGACCCGAATTCCAAATCTTCTTCACAGTCAGGGGCAATTTTGTCCAAACACCTTTTTTCTTTATTTTTCTTTTTCTTTCTTCATTTTCACTTTCTCTTTGTTTTGTTTTCTTTTTCTTTTTTCTCTCCTTTTTCTTTCTTCATCGTGGTAAGAAACAATGGACGATGCAGAAGGCGATCCTGTGAGCTCGTCCATGGCGGATCCCTACCAGAGGAAGCGCTTCAAAAGATCCTCTCACGGCCAGGCACTTCCCAACCGGCCCAACCCCGTCACCAGGCGCAACTTGCGGTGGCGGCGGCGGATTCAGCAATGATGATGACGACGACAAAGGGAATTACAGTATCCGCCAAAACCCTAGTTACAGCTATGATTATCAAAATGGTCATTGTAGCATTAGTGGTAGCGGTATTGGCGCACAAGGATATGTGAGGAAGCGTGGACAGGAGAATTTGGTCCCTGCTCATGATTGTGAGGCGAGGTTTCTTAATCAAGCTTCGTTTCGTGAGTTTGCCAAGTTCACATTGCTGGAAGTGTGGCGAATGAACAGAAGAAGGTGTCGAAGACGGTGGTGTGAGGAAGATGAAGAAAGAAAAAGGAGAAAAAAAGAAAACAAAATAAAGAGAAAGTGAAAATGAGGAATGAACAGGAAAAATAAAGAAAAAAAGTGCTTAG